CCCCAAAACCCCAAAACCCCAAAACCCCAAAACCCCTAATTTCTGTGAAATTATTGAAAAACTTTACTGTTTTTACAGTAAACTTTAAAAATATTTCCTCTGGAGACAGACACCCTTGGGCTAGTACGAAGCCTCGGCTTCGACCGAGCCTTTGGAGGTTTCGGGTCAGGAAGGATTTCAGTGGGGAAATTTGAGGATTTTGGTAAGTAGCGATGGTAGAATTTGCGGAAGAGGTCGTGCTTGAGTGGAGTTTTGGGATTTTGAGTGGGCTTTGGAAGGAATTTTGTGGAGAATTGGGTCATTGGGATTGGGATAGAGAAGGTTTTGGACTCCTAGAGGTGAGAGGTGGCGTACGAATGAGACTCTTTTGGTTGGGTTAGGGAATTGAGAAGAGGTGTTTGATTCTAGGGGTGAGGGAGGAAGTACTTGTTTCAGTTACTTCTGCAATTGAACCGATGTTAATTGAGTCTCTTACATCCAGAATTGATTTTCCTGTGGGTTAGGAAGAGCTTACTGACGTTGATATCTTTTCTCATAGTGAGTCAACTCATTAGGACAGGCCCTAGGTTGCCAGGTTCGTTCGGTTTGATTTTAGTAGATTTTCTGTGAAAGTGTTTGGTTGAAGATTTTAATAATTTCCTTGACTTCTTCTTTACAACTTCTAGGTGATTTATTCAAATAATATTACTGAGAGTATCTCCAATTTTTGAGGCTGTAAAATATCATCTAAAAGCTTACTATTGACAGAAGATCGTGAACTGAAAGTGTCTACTTCACTATCACTGCTCTATAATTTAGAATAAAAATTATTCAAAGTAAAAAACCAAGATCAACATTTTCTTGAAGGAGATCTCAATTTAGAATTCATCACAGGTATCATATTGGTTAAAACATTATAGAGAAAGTCAGAATTCCTTAAATAGCATTGAAAGAATGGAGTAAATTATTTTTATCCAGAATCCTTTCATAACTATTTACTTCACTCAAGACTTTACCTCTTTAGGATGATTCAGCTGGGAGGTTTTCTCATCGACAAGGTTGCTCACCAAGTCATCACTAGTGATCTTGATATGCTCTCTAGAGGTCGTTCACAATTCTTACATGATATTTGGCTCTAATTCCTCAGAGACTTCTTGAGGGATACTAGCAGGAGTCAGGAACTGACTCCTGCGATTCCCTTTCAAGACAGAGTCTAGTCTTGACCCCAATATATCCATAAAGGAATTATTTGGCTTCTTGATGATCAAGTCATTTCTAGAGATGTCACTCTAAGCTTACATGAAATTATTATAAGAGGCCTCAATCCTATTATTCTTGGGTTTCACTAATTTCTTCTCAGAATTTTGAGACTTGTTCTTGATCCGTTTCTTTTTATTTATGCAAGTGACAGTTCACATGGCGAAGGATCTCTCGAAGGTACTCTGGATCGGTTTTGGTTATTAGGTTGCCTAGATTTGAGCACAAATACTACTGATCATTCCCCAGTGTCTATTGGGATCATTGTCTGCATACACCTTCTTGTCCTTAGCATCAACAAATTTCATGTGCTTGTCCATAAGAACCCTATTTATTATACGGTGTGAAGTAGTAGTCGATCTTTGAAAATCTGTAAGTTAGTTAAGAAGGAAATACAATTTATTTATCCAAAATATGCTTGCTGAAGGACTCTTTTCGACGAGTATCAACACTTCTGTTCAGAAGTTTCTGCCTTGGAAAATGGTACTCTGTCTTTCTACTCATTTTAGACTGTTAATTACCTGTTGGGAGAGGGACTACCGATGAAATACCTCTTTGATTTTGGTTTTTGCCGTTTGAGCCGTTTTGAAATTCCTGGTAAGTCAAATGGAGCGAATGATTTGTTGAGGAAATCATAACTCCTATGAAAGATCATTAACAAAATACCCTGTGATATCTGTTTTTGAATGAGTGATGTAGTCAGAACCTATGCAGGGATTTTATTCCGATTTGCCCTACTTTTATCCATGTCTTACAATATTTTATAAACTTATTGGGGTTTTGGGGTTTTGGGGTTTTGGGG